GGGCTGGCGCCGCCGGCGGAGCGGGGCGCGGGCGGCGGGCGCGGGGCCAAGGCGAGCTTCCGCGTGCTGGAGAACTCGGCCCCGCACCTGCTGGACGTGGACGGCGAGAGCGGGCTGCTCTACACCAAGCAGCGCTTGGACCGCGAGGCGCTGTGCCGCCGCAGCGCCAAGTGCCAGCTGTCGCTCGAGGTCTTTGCCAACGACCAGGAGATCTGCATGATCAAGGTGGAGGTGCAGGACCTGAACGACAACGCGCCCGCCTTCCCCGCCGACCAGGTGGACATGGACATCTCGGAGAACGCCGCCCCTGGCACCCGCTTCCCCCTCACCAGCGCCCACGACCCCGACGCGGGCGACAACGGGCTGCGCACCTACCTGCTCACCCGCGACGACTACGGGCTCTTCTCGCTGGACGTCAAGTCCCGAGGGGACGGCACCAAGTTCCCCGAGCTAGTGATCCAGAAGCCGCTGGACCGCGAGGAGCAGAGCCACCACACACTGGTGCTCACGGCGCTGGACGGGGGCGACCCGCCGCGCTCGGGCACCGTGCAGATCAACGTGCGCCTCATCGACTCCAACGACAACAGCCCTGTCTTCGAAGCGGCCTCCTACGTGGTGGAGCTGCCTGAGAACGCGCCCCTGGGCACGGCTGTCATCGACCTCAACGCCACCGACGCCGACGAGGGCACCAATGGCGAGGTGCTCTACTCCTTCAGCGGCTACGCTCCTGACCGGGTGCGTGACCTCTTCAGCATCGACCCGCAGAGCGGCCTCATCCGCGTCAAGGGCAACCTGGACTACGAGGAGAGCGGCCTCGTAGAGATCGACGTGCAGGCCCGCGACCTGGGGCCCAACCCCATCCCTGCCCACTGCAAGGTCACCGTACGCCTTGTCGACCGTAATGACAATGCGCCCGCCATCGGCTTTGTCTCTGTTCGCCAGGGGGCTCTCAGCGAGGCCGCCCCGCCAGGCACCGTCATCGCTTTGGTGCGGGTCACTGATCGTGACTCAGGCAAGAATGGGCAGCTCCAGTGCCGGGTGCTGGGTGGCGGGGGCAGTGGTCCAGGTGCCGTACCCTTCACACTGGAGGAGAACTATGACAATTTCTACACAGTGGTGACTGACCGGCCACTGGACCGTGAGGCACAGGATGAGTACAATGTTACCATTGTAGCCCGTGATGGTGGCAGCCCCCCGCTCAACTCCACCAAGTCTTTCTCTGTGCGCATCCTCGACGAGAACGACAACCCACCCCGCTTCAGCAAAAACCTCTATGTCCTACAGGTGCCAGAGAACAATATCCCTGGTGAGTACTTGGGCTCTGTGCTGGCCCAGGACCCGGACCTGGGGCAGAATGGGACTGTCTCCTATTCCATCCTGCCCGGGCATGTAGGCGATGTCTCCATCTACACCTATGTCTCTGTCAACCCCACCAATGGTGCCATCTATGCCCTGCGGAGCTTCAACTATGAGCAGACCAAGCACTTTGAGTTCCGCGTGCTGGCCAAGGACTCCGGCTCTCCCCACCGCGAGAGCAACGCCACTGTGCGTGTCACTGTGCTTGATGTCAATGACAATGCACCACTTATTGTGCTGCCCACCCTCATCAACGACACTGCCGAGCTCCAGGTGCCGCGCAATGCTGGCGTGGGCTACCCCGTGGGCACTGTCCGAGCCCTGGACAGTGATTTTGGGGAGAGCGGGCGTCTCACATATGAGATCGTTGAAGGCAACGAGGAGCACCTCTTTGAGATGGACCCAACCAGTGGTGAGATACGCACCTTGCATCCCTATTGGGAAGAGCTCAGCCCTGTGGCTGAGCTGGTGGTCAAAGTCAGTGATCATGGCAAGCCTAGCCTCTCAGCTGTGGCTAAGCTAATTGTCAGGGCCTTGGCTGGACCCCTGCCTGAAGCCGGTGAGCCTCAGGTGAATGGTGAGCAGCATCGGCGACCTCACTGGGACCTATCGCTACCCCTGATTGTGACCCTGAGCACTGTCTCTATCATCTTGTTGGCTGCCATGATCACCATTGCTGTGAAATGCAAGCGGGAGAACAAGGAGATCCGCACCTATAATTGTCGCATTGCTGAATACAGCCACCCCCAGCTGGGAGGAGGGGGAGGCAGTGGTGGGGGAGCAGGTGCAGGTGGCAGTGGAGGGAGCAAGGGCAAAAAGAAGAAGATCAGCAAGAATGACATTATGCTGGTGCCCAGTGAAGGCGAGGACAGTCGGGGCCCCCTAAATGTCATGAACGTGGTGAGCAGCCCCTCTTTGGCCACCTCACCCATGTACTTTGACTACCAGACCCGTCTGCCCCTCAGCTCACCCCGGTCTGAGGTGATGTACCTAAAGCCTGCCTCCAACAACCTGACTGTACCCCAGGGACATGTGGGTTGCCACACCAGCTTCACGGGGCAAGGAACTAACGCCAGCGAGGCTCCACCGAGCCGGATGTCCATAATACAGGTAGGAGACTTTTAGAATAACCTGGAGCATACTTTAGATCCCAATTTAAATTGTATGTCTTGTCTGCAGTGAAACCTGCTGTAAGGCACCACTGGAGGGACCAGCAGAAGTCACTTAAGGGAGGTGGACTTGCTTATTAATCTAACGTGGAGCAGATCACACTTGTCTGACTCTGCCCTCACACTGCTGTGACCAGTGTAAATCAGAAGTTATTCTAATGAAATAAATGGAGTTATACCAGTGTTAAACAGACATGCAAGAGCAGCACTGAGGCTTCAGTAGTTTGGGATACTTTGGGGTGGTCTCCTAGAGTGGCAAATCACCAAAGATAGGTGGTCTCTTATGCAGGTTTCTCTGTAGCTGGGTTTTGGGCAGATGGGGTGGGGATATTTAAGGAGTCATGTCACCTGCTGTAACCAACAGGACATGGCATAAACTGTACACACTGAGGAAATCTCATACAACAGTGTATATAGTCCTCCAATCCTGTATGTAAATATAAGTTCTCTTTCCAAGTTGTACGCTTTTAATTTTTTTTAACTTCTTCTTTAAATATATATATATATATATATATATATATACACACACACACATATATACTTCTTTTTATACACAAACATACACGCACACACACACACAAATATTTATTTTTGTCACAGAACAGTGTCATTTGGGACCCCATTGCCACCTCTTCCTCTCAGAAAAAAACAATCTTTTAAAACTTGAACTTGAAAACTTTGGTTAGTTTACTAGACCAACTAGTCTAGTATGTATGTGGTGGTTCCTTCCCTCTAGCCCCTGACAAATTTTAACAAAACTCAAATTCTGTCATAAATCAGCAAAATGACTGGTCAGATTTCCAGTAGCCTGAATCAATATTGTTGTTGCTATATAGAGAAAGACAAGCTCTGTGTTTTTATTTTATTAAAGCTCATTTTAGAAAAAATAAGATAGTGGACCACAGTCTGCTTTCTGTTCACTTTCATGTATATGAATAATGGCAGAATATGGGCCACCTGACCAAGTTTAATATGGAAAGAACCTCTTAATTCTTAGTATGTGGCTTAAAGTTCAAACTCAGAACTGTTTCAGAGCAGTGGGCTTGCACAATGAATCTGGGGGCATAATTTGTCCCCAGCTGATCTAATTTAAATTACTACTTAATTATTAGTGTGGCTTAATGTTCAAATATTACAGGTACATTCCAAAGCAATTTTTAACATTTGGAATGAATGCAGGCTCTGGATAATGACTATTAAATATGTTTGAAATGTCATATCTGTTTTGTCTTATGGTTCTACTAATATGCTGTTCTGATTCATAGGGGAATGAGCTGAGTGTATCAAAAGTGACACAGACTCATTTTGTGTACCCAGATAATGGGAAAGAAGTTGCACTGTAGACACTCGATGTACCAAAAAGAAATTCATAATGCATATGAGTTGTCGTGCTGTGTAGTGTTGCCAGTGCCAAATTTGCTGCTTTCTAGCTGCGGGCAATTTTATCAGCTAAAGAGAGGTGGCTGCTGATAATTGGCAAATAACAAAAACAAACTTCCAATAATTGATCCAGTATAGCTGTATATTTTGATAACTGCAGAAAAATGCCCTCTGCACAAGGTCACTGTGAACTATTTCTCAACCCACTATTGAGTTGTGTCACAGAAACAATTTCATTTTATGCTTATCATGAATTTGTATTGCTATCAATTAGGTGAGTTCAGCAATACTCAAAATCTGAAATTGATTTTAACAAAAAGTGACATTTCAGGAAGAATATTAGATTAGGGGAAAACCAACGATAATTTGATTTACAATTCATGCTTTAAAAGACAACTAACTTTCAGTGAGATGTGTTTAAGTCATTTTTTTACTGTAAAATGGAGTGGTCTGAAAAGAAAAAAAATTCCAAGTGTAATAGCTACTAAAAGATAGAAAATTATATTTTCCTACAACCATGTAATGTCTATATAAAGCAATTAATACATGTACTGATAGTAAAGATTCAACTGTAGTGTAAAAATCCCATTGGCAAATATGATTCCTTTTTTAACAGTGTTCACTGTATAATATCAATCGTGACTTTTTTGAGATCAATATAAAACTGAAAGAGGAATTTCCTCCCTTAAAAAGTTGTGCTGTGGTTTCTATAAAAGCTTTGGTATAACTGTGGGAAATTTAAGCAGAAGTTCCTGATAGCACATGCTGGTATGCATAATATTTACCTTTCTGTGTTCCCTTGAATTATCTATACAGTGTTTTGAAGCTAGATGGCTCAGCCTGTGGGTTAAGGCATACACTCCTCTTTAACACTTACAAAAACCTGGTTCAAATTTAGTTTAGGTCACAAGTGGCACTGAACTTAGTAGTCACAGCATAATTATAGCGCACACATGCAGCTTGATATGATTTTGGGGCTTTTTTCAGAAGAGGCCCAAATTTAAAGCAGCAGGGATTTGCATTAGTAAGGCTATTTGGGGAAGCTTACATTTTGCTGTACTTAGCTGTGAGCAATGCAATCAGGTTTTGCACACCACAAAAAGTAATTGTTATATCCCTTTACACTTGCCCTCTTCCCCACATCCCCAGACTAAATATTACATAGAAGCACTGTACTTAAAACCAGAAAGTAGACAATACTTTGGGTCTGATCACCACTGCACTTCTAGCTAATGCAAAACTTGCAGTAACATCAGTGAGAGTTTTGCCTGAGCAAGGAGTACAGAATTCAGCTCTCCTTTATCTGCACCGAGTGGTTACTTGTCCAGTTTCAAAAAGTCTGCTTCTGGAACAATAAACTATACTTTCAGAAGGCAAAAGTAGACAGAAAAAGGACAATCAGTATCCAAACAGCTGTTTTAACACCAACCTTCTTTAACTAATAAAGTATGCATGGTAGCTCATTACCACAAGTAAGTGAAAACTAAGCTATCTATAGTATTTTCTCTAGTGACTGTTCACTTTCTTTTTTTCTCACGCATATAGTTACATTTCATTAATTTTCATGCAACAAAACTGCTCACTTTCATTCCAGGCTTCTCTGCCATGATTTAAGGACAAAGTTCTAGTGAGGTCTTTCATTATGGTATTAAACCTTTTGTATATTTACAAAATATACTTTTCTGTATATATACATAATATAGTGCATTAGGTAGTGTGCTACTAAAGCATTATAAATACTGACATCCAGATACCAGTTACTTTGTCAATAAAGCGCAGGTATTCCCACCTTTTCTCAGAGAATGTGCTTCATTTTTTTTGCATCTGTTTATGCTGAAATCAGGAGGTCAGATTCCCATTCACTTACTCCTGATGAATAACACCTTATCTCTCACATAAGCCCATTAAAGTCAATGGTCACATGGACTGTGGTACTACTTGACATGATTATGGTTATTAGAATCTGACCAAAAGAACTGCTAGCTGAGTAAAGTGCTATTCTGCATGCACTGCTTAACTTTGCCCTGTTAAATACACTTTCCTATGGATTACTCCTATATATATATATTTTTTTTTTTTGTACATTTATATACCGATTCATACCAATAAGTAATTTTCAGTGAGGGTGAGGATTGGGAATGTGAATTAGTGGAGTTCTGTAATCACAAGAACATAAATCTTTACATACACCTATATGATGTATACATAAAATGGTCAATTGCTATACAAGGGTGCTGATTACTTGTGCCATGCACTGATTTCAGGGACAGTTACAGATGTTTAGCTCATATGACAAGTAGGCTCTGTATAAGTTAACTAGTGGATAAGGATGACATACATGTAGAAAATTGCTTTTCGAGGCATGGGAAGTTCACTTTTACTAAGCATTAGCATATCAAATATTTCAACTGTGCATTCTAAGCATCAACTAATAAAGAAAGATGGTTTAAAAACAATTTAGTTGTAAAGGTGTTTAGACCTAAATTTACTAGCATATTTGATATACACAAACAAAAATTATTTACCAATTCAAGATTTTAAATGGCTCAGATAAGAAAACAAAAGGGGTAAGTCATATGGCTAAAATCCAGACAAACTTCCATACAACATGGTAAGGTCCAAAAATACTCAATCTTGGTGGAAAAAGAGAGGACTTGGAATCTGTGCATAGCAAAGGAAGATTTATATTGACTTTTGACTAAGGACTATGGGCTAAAAATTCTGTTCATCTTATTCAAGTGAATAAATCAAGTTGGACTACTTCCCTGACCAAGGCGCACAGAATTTTGCTCTTTTTTGCTCTACATTTTTTAAATATTCATATACAACCCCACTAAAAGGTTATTTGGTTAATTATGTAATCTGTTCATGTTAACATAGGAAAATGGCCGTGCTAGCAAACAAGCCATGATTTCTTTTACTTCAAGTTTTCCAATAGATGAAAGAGTTGATGGATAAAGGGAAACCAGTAGAAATAGGTTCTTTAAAGTGACATGACAGTGGTGTAGAAAACTATCTATATATGCAAGGAGTGCTGATGATCATAGAGAATATTTATTGTTATACCTTTGATGCAGCAGGGACAGATTTGTAACTATATCAACAGTGAGACAGGATAGGAAAACTGTGGTCAGAGCTTTGATTGAACAAAAAAAAAATAAATAAAAGAAGACGACCAAAAAGAAGAGGCTGTATTATAAAGAACTCTCATGCTGGGAATCACCACAGTTGCTGTAGTAGGCAGGCGTGCAAAGTTTAAAGATAAAGTAAAGATCATTCTTAATACTTCCAGGCACCTGTTTACGATGTGTCAACAGATTACTGTCAAGTCCCAGTGCAGCCTCATCACCAGGTGTCTAGTGGTATCTAAGAAGATATAAACTTCAGGGGGAGGGGGTAGAATAAGCTGTATTTATGCTGTTATATCTTTTAGACATACTGTTGTTCCATTGTTTACTTTGAGACTTCAGCATGCAGGATTGTAAAAGGAAGCATGCTGACACCGCAATATGAGAACAGAAATAATAATAATAAAAAAATGACATTCATTGTCAGCATTTA